CTGCATCTACTCATGGCGGAAAGTGGCAGGCAGCTGGCGGGTACAAGCAGATCACATGGCGACAGGAAGCAAGAGAGAGAGTAGGTGCAGGGTCTTTTTAAGCAACGAGCTATCGCGGGAACTAACAGAGCAGAACTCATTCATTCATCCCCTCTTCCCCAAGGAGAGCATTAATCAATTCATGAGGTATTCGCCCCCATGACTCAATCAGTTTCCAACACTGCCACATTGGGGATTGGATTTCCACGAGTTTTGGAGGGGACAACACGTCCAAACTCCATCAGTACATAAATAAAATAGAAAGATTTTGACGTATTATATTCAACAATTAATAAATTAATGTCCTCTGTAATATATTTTTATATCAAGATATATTGAGATCATACCATATAGTTTCATCTTTTTCCAGTCAATATTGTATCCTAAGAATTTCCAATGTTCTTAAAAATTCTTCGCAAATACAATTTTTGATGGCTATGAAACATTACATCCTGGATGTACTGTAATTTATTCAGGCATCCTCCTGATGTCAGACGTTTAAGTTGTTTACAAGTTTTGATAACAAGTAATACTGAGATGAGATAAGCATCTTTATTCATGAAACTCTGTCTCCATTCATCATGCTCTGGGAAGCTTTGCCCTTATGTTTTTAAGATTAGACATCTTCCCATATTTTAAATTAAATATTAGCTGTACATGTCATAAAATTCTTTTGAAAAAGGGAGTACTTAATTTGGAGATGTACTTTTGGCAATACTTCACAGATCAGCTGGGTAAAGTTGACTTTACATCTTAGAGGATGCCGGGATTATGGAAAAGGGGAGAGAGGAGGAAGATGGAAAGTGATGGGGAATAAAAAGGGAAAATGGAATATGAGATGAGAAGCCAGAGGGAGGGAGCAAAGGGAAGATGGCATCTGCCCCTGAAGCCCCTCAACACTGCCTACGTCTCTGCACCTGGTTCCCAACAGCTGTTCAAGTGTGGTTTTAGCTTTGAGAAAAAAGACCATTTTCAAAGAAGCCAAAACACAACTGAAACTCTAGGGGTTCTGATTATTGTACAGTGGGCACAGACAGATACAGAGACTTTGGTTAAATAATTGGGAGAATGGGAAATCTGTAGGTATGTGGGAGGGAACAGAGGTGTTACTAGACCCAGGAGAGAAGCTCTGGGGTTTTCTCAGGATCCTCATTGTGGGTGAGGGGAGGGAACTGTGAAAGGGGGAGCGACTTCCCCAGGCCAGGGCAACTCCAGCTGGTCTCCCTGCCCTGTGGATGGAACCACTGTAAATATCTGGGGCCAAGCTAAGTCATGCTCTGGTTTGCTCCCTGTTCACTCCCACTGGGCCTTTGGTCCCAGCCCTGTCTCAGTCACTGTGGCTGGTCAGAAGGCAGTAAATGCCAAACTGGTTAGTTGCAAAGTCCACCTGGCTTAGTTTTCTTTCATTGGCAAGAGACCAAGGGGGTTGCTATGTAAGAGAGAGGGGGACTGTTTCCACTGCTTTCACTCAAGCTGTCCCAAGACAGGTGGGTAGCTGGCCTGGCTGGGAGACTCTTCTTCCCCAGCCCCTAGAGTGGGCAATGTGATCACAGGTGAGAAAATGCCGACAACATCAGGGCAGACACATGTTTATTTTGTGGGAAAAAAGAATTTAGGGCTCTCTGAAAGGCACTTGTGAAGCACAG